ACTGCCATGAAGAATTTTTTATCCATTTAAAAATGTAGTATTTTATTACTTATTAATGTAATTAGTCCCTTTAACTGACAAATCCAATACCCTAAAAGCAAACGGAGGGCATTATAGCACTGATATGAACCACAGTGTGGAGCACACACTTTTGCACAGGATATTGGGCAACAGCCTAGAATCAGCTGTATGATCTTCCTTTCTTATTTGCTAATGAAAAATGGTGAATTCTATTATTTTCGCTTGCAACTCTAGCAAATAATCCCTGGACTCTACGGTGGCTCTCCTTGCACTGTGGACTCAGAAAACCACAGAAGGTGAAACAGAGTTATCGCTCTTGAGAGGGACAGGGAAAAAGAAAATTTAAAAGGATCCTTTTTAAGTGAATAATTCCATGTACCTTCAACTTACACAAAGGCTGGCAAGATCTGGCCAATAAATCAGTTAACTCTTCTTCCCATGTGGAAGAGCTGGGTTGGGGCAAGTTTTCCCTCCTCAGCAACTACTCTTATTACAATAACACTGTAGTTTGTTTTTTTTTTTCTTTTCGCTAGTCTGTCTTCAACACAGACCGAACCTCTTGAGGACAAGAACACTGAACGCTGTAATCATTGCTGGGCCAGGCGTTCAGTTGGGCCCTCATGTTGGTCAAAGTTAAATTTATGGGAGGGCAGTGGGTTCAGTTAGGGTTAAAAAGTAGTTGCATTCTAGGACAAGGTAAGTATGTGGGCTAGTGGGTTTTCAAAGAAAACTGTGGAATGGAGGAGAGAGGGTCAGAAAAGTCACTGGGGTAGAAGTGCAGACAATGTGACTGAATATACAGACTTTTTTTTTCTTTGTTTGGAGAGGTTTTTGCTATAGGGCGCGTGCGCTTGCCAGACAGACAGAGAGAGACAGAGAGACAGAAAGCGAGAAATCACCCCCTAGGGGGGATGGCCACGCTGCAGTCCCTTCTCCTCCATTCTGTTCTTGGGATCTTGGGCACGCACGCACACGCACCCAGCATGAGTTTAAGCCACTGGGTCCGGCGACATAGCCATTTGCTAACTGCTGGTCCCATGTACAGCATTTTTAATAGACGTGCCACATAGGACTTCTATTCAGAGTGGCAGATATGAAAGGCATGGCAGAACTAACTAAAATCAAGGTTCTCTACATGTTCAGGTGAAATTCTAGGTGATGTCAGAATGCTCTATGAGACTAGTGTTTAGAACCTTTGCTCAAGGTTCTGATAGAGATTTGGCAGAGCTGTTCTGCTGATGTAGCAGCTATTTGAGAGAGCTCTGCTCAGAAGTGAATGGAGAAGTAAAAAGGTAGTAAAGTGAGGGGGGGTGGAGGCAGTATTTTTGCCTGGTTGTTAAAGGGTTGAAATATTCTAAAGAGGTTTGTTTTCTTTGCTTGCTTGCTATAGGGCGTGTGTTTTCAGTGGAGAGAGACAGAGAGAGGGCAAGAAAGTAAACCACCCCCCAGGGGGATGGCCGTACTGCAGTCCCTTCTCCTGCATTCTCCTCTTGGGATTTTGGGCACACACACACATGATCCCAGCATGTTTCTCAAGCCACCAGGGCTGGGACTTGAAATGTACAGTCGGTCATGTGCCTGACCCCAAAGGAGATTTTAAAATTTCCAAATTATTTGGTATTTATCAAAATGCACATTCAAAATAGATTTCCCAAATAAAGGTTATCAAAACATCAGGAAACAGGCCACCTGGTAATATGATGATGAAGGTGGTTGGATCCCACATGGCCAACTGCATGATTTGAGTCAACCCAGTGGCTTGAAAAACATGGTGAGTTTGTGTGCACGCAAGCCCAAAATCCCAAGAGAGGAACGGAGAAGGGTTTGCAATGGGGCCAACCCCCTGGGGGGGGGTGATCTCTCACTTTCTCTCTCTCTGTGTCTCTTTCTGACAAGTGTATGGGCCCTATAGCAATTTTTTTTAAAAGTCAGGAAGGACGTGTAGGTGACGTGATGATTAAGGCACTTGATCCCACATGGCCAGGTTAATGGTTTGAATGCCAGATCTGGCAGCTGGAGAATCATGCTGGGCACATTTGTGTGCGTGCCCAAAATCCCAAAAGGAGAGTGGAGGAGAAGAGATTGTGGCTATTCCCCAGGGGATGATGTCTCACTCCCCCCTGCCCCCATCTCAAAAAGAAAAAAAAAAAAAAAGAAAAGAAAAGAAAGCTTTCTATTTTCATGTTGTATTTTGAGGCTCTGAATCCCATTTAAACCTTTTGTTTTAGCTTCCCCTGCTATATCACTCTAGCAGGGAAGGTATAGGTACCTCCTCAGTATTTCCAGATGGAGGTTGAGGTCTAGGTTCCCTACTTGTTCTCTGTTGACATTTGAAGTGGGACTCCTTGTTACTGGGTGGGGCTGAGAGATCGTGTTCCATGTGTAGTCTTCAGCCACACTGCATCGGAGATAGCCTTGTTACTTCTGGGTGATGGCGGAGGTTCTTATTCTCCAGGAGGCCTCTTCTGTTACTACCGCATTGCTGCTGAGAGGAAGTGGAAATCCAGGCCCTTTGTGGTGTTCACTGACACTTTGGTAACAGGAGGTGATGAAAGTTCTGGCTCCCTAGATGGCTTCTTTCTTTCTCTTCCTCCCTTCCTTCCTTCCTTCCTTCCTTCCTTCCTTCCTTCCTTCCTTCCTTCCTCTCTCTCTCTCTCTTTCTCTCTTTCTTTCTTTCTTTCTTTCTTTCTTTCTTTCTCTCTCTCTCTCTCTCTCCCTCTCTCTTTCTTTCTTTTTATCTTTTTTTTTTGAGAGTTTTTGCTCTAGGACACATGTGCTCGCCAGAAAGACAGAGAGAGAGAGAGAGAGAGACAGAAAGTGAGAAATCACCTCCCAGGGGGGATGGCCACACCACAATCCCTTCTCCTCCGTTCTCCTCTCAGGATCTTGGGCACGCACGCACATGCACCCAGCATGAGTTTAATCCACCAGGTCCAGGACTCCAATAGCAGTTGACTACATGGGAGTCCGGCAACATAGCCATTACTGCTGGTCCCAAGATGGCTTTTTTTATATCACCCCAGATGGGGTTTTCGGACATCTGTGATAGCCTTTTGAGGGCAGAAATCTGGGTGAGAGTAGCCACAGCAGTGTTCAATTGTGGTAGAGAAAATACTGTATAAAATTTTCAGTCTTGTTAGGATACCCCTTTCTTGGCACTTTGGTTCAAGATAGCAGGCTTCCAAGTTGCTGTTTTGCCTGCTCTTGTTAGCGTTTCTGAGTTGCTGACTTCTTCAACTTTAAGTTTGGGATATACGAGGAAAAAGAAACCACAAGGAACACCCCACTCTGCCGTTCTTTGGATCCTGAGGCACCTAGCTCGTCCGCCTTTCCCCACGTTTTAGAATCTCCTTATATTTGCTTCGTGTGTGATATTTAGAGATTTTACTCGTACTAATTATGAGTTCTCCCCAACTCCTAGAAGGAGGGAAAAGAACTTGCACTCTATCTTCCTGGAAACAGAATTTGGACAGCCCAAGTTAATGATTGATTGATGCAGGAATATAAAGGCCTGGCTTTCTGATCCCAAAGTGCTACAATTCTGAAGGGCCAGCACAGTCCTGAGGGCCCCCATGGCATCAGTCGAGCCCTTTTATGTGACTATATCAGAGTGTCTTCTTATGCCCAGTCTTATCTCCCACTCTCACACAGATGTGGATCTCAAAAGTACTCCCTGGTAATTTTCCTGCAGCAAGTCTCAGAGTACTTTTCCGTGAACACAGCATTTAGCAGTTGGTAATGTATTAAAATGATCGGTGTGTGTAAACAGATTCTAAAATGGGATTCTGGAGCTGGACGACCTGCTACCTGAATGGCATAACCTGGTTCTCTTTTGTTTTTCTGGAATTTCTAATTTTCCTCTCTTACATTCTCCTTTCTTTTCATTGCCATGTATACAGGAATACACCCCCCCCCCATGGTTTTTGTCACAGGATGTGTGTACTTTCTGGAGACAGAGAGAAAGAGAGAAATCCCCCTCCCCCCAGGGGGAATAGCCATGCCACAGTCCCTCCTGCATTCTCCTCTCAGGATTTTGGGCATGCACACACATGCTCCCAGCATGATTCTCAAGCGGCCAGGTCTGGGCCTCAAACTGCATTCAGCCATGTGGGAGTCCACCTTAACCACAACGCCACCTGCTGGTCCCAAGTGATACCTCTTTTTGTCTCTCTTTCATACCAGAAGCAGTGCTCCTCAGAGGAAGATACTCTGGCATTTCTCCTTTAGGTTTCTTCTTTGTAGATGTTTCTGTGGACTACAAGTCCTAGACCTGTGGTCAGAGTATATGCACTTGGTGTTGAACTTCCCCTTTCTCAGGATGATTTCGTCTGTGCTTCCTTTGTGTTCCCGTTCCTCCCTGCTCTTTTCTACAGCAGCTCAAGATTTCTTTTCCCTTGTTTTCCGTTCCTATAGATTGTGATGGGGATAGGTGTGAGAGCTTGGTATTTTATTTCTCTACTAAGAGGAAATCTAAAGAGTGTGGCATTCTCTCTCCTAGTAATGCTCAAGGTATATGTCTTGTGTGGTTTCATTTGTATTCCTAAAAATACACACACACACACACGTGTGTGTGTGTGTGTGTGCGTGTGTGTGTGTGTGTATATAATGATGAGTAGAGATTCAGAATCAAGGTGGTTTCCATACTTGGGCCAGTTAGAATTCTCTCCTTACAATTTTTTTAAGTTTAAATCTCTTAACAAACTGAAGAATTATTGTTCATACTATAATACTATGCACTTTTCTCCACTTTTATAATTCCTTTAATGATAGTCTATTTAATTGTGTACATTTTTATTTCTCTGCTAACTTACTGATAAACTTATTGAAGATAGAGATGAATTTCTGAGTCATATTAATATCTCACTGCCTAGGGTATGTGAGAGACTTACAAGGTACTCAAAATATTTATGGAATTTAATTAATCTTCTACCTAGCTATGTTTTCTTTTCCTTCTAAATGTTGATTTATTTACATTGTAGATGCTGAGAAAAACTCTTAAAGAGTCCGATAGTGAAGAGGTAGAAGTAGCACCTGAAATACCAAGTTTGGTGGCATTTGGTAATGTGGTAGGTACAACTAACCCTTAATAAACCTTAACAATGGCTATTTAATATGAAGAGTAATTGGTGTTTATTATTTAGCAATCAAAAATTATGTGCAGAAAATGTTCCTTTCTAGTAACATATGTCCATTAATTTTTTCATTTTTATGGGTCAGAAGAAACATTGAAATAATCATAGAAAACATGTGGTTCACAGAAATAATGTTTTCTTTTTTTAATAATTATTTATTTAATTTTATGTATTTATTCATTTATTTTAATTTGACCAGAGAGAGATACACAGAGAGAGAGAGAGGGGGAAAGTGAGAAGGCAAGCCACCAGGTCCGGTACCCCAACCGCTGTCGGCCATGTGGGAATGTCCAGCATCTTAACCTCCATGCCACCTGCTGGTCCCAAGAAATAATGTTTTCTATGTTAGAGATTCCTGACTCTACTTACATCAGAATTGCCCGGGATACTTTTATAACACATTGATTTTGTGCCCCACCTAAGGTCTACTAATTCAGAATCTCTGGGAGTTAGCATTGTTACTGAGCTCTTCAGTTGATATTCATGACCAGATTGAACTACAGTTAACAAATTAATCTCACCCTCTTTTACTATTAAAAAAAAAAGAAGAAGAAACAAAAGCAAACTCACTTAACACACACATGCACGATTTAATATCTATGTTGAGAACCAGAAAATCTGTTATATTTTGGGTGCCTCAGGGTATAGGACATGAGTTTCTGCCTACATTTACAACTGTCAGCTATAATGACATTCTTCTACAATTTTCTTTATTTTCTGAACACTGTTAGAACAGTTACTGGGTATGAAATAAAAATTTCTTTTGTCGTCTCTACTTCCTACCATTCCTCAATGTTTAATATAATATTTCTGTGATCTTTTACTTGTTTTATTTTTAAGACTAAATTTGGCTAAATATATTTAACTAACATAGTGTATTAGAATTCAAATGTTTGGAACCAGCAGATGGCATAATGGTGATGTCTCTCAACTCCCACATAGTCGACCATAGTTCAAGTCCCAGACCAAGCAGCTTAAAACTCACATCTGGAGTGTGTGAGTTCATGTTATATTTAAAACTCACATCTGGAGTGTGTGCGTTCATGTTATATTTAAAAATATATACTTCAGTGTAAAGTAGAAGAAAATTTAATGCCTTAACTCTCTTTTTTTTTTATTGTTTGTTGTAGGCTGGCTGCTTGGCTGTTCATATAAAGAGCTGCAGATATTTTACGACTAAGAGTATCCTTTCTTTTGATTTAAGAATATAGTATGATGATATCTTACTGTTTTAGTTATTCATTTGGGCCAGCAGGTACTGTGGTGGTTGGGAAACTGGACTCCCACATGGCTGACTGCAGTTCAAGTCCTAGACCTAAAGGCTTGCTTTCTCACTTTCCCCCCCTCTCTCTGTGTCTCTCTGATGACTATAGCAAGTTAAAAAATAATAGCAATAGGGACCAGCAGTTAGCGTAATGGCTATGTTGCTGGACTCCCACGTAGTCGACCGCGGTTCGATGCCCAGACCCAATGGCTTAAACTCACGCCGGGCGCGTGTGTGTGTGTGTGCCCAGGGTCCTGAGAGGAGAATGGAGGAGAAGGGATTGCGGCATGGCCATCCCCCCTGGGGGGTGATTTCCTGCTTTCTGTCTCTCTGTCTCTCTCTGTCTGTCTGGCGAGCACACGCGCCCTATAGCAAAAACCTCTCCAAAAAAAAATTAATAGCAATAAATAAAATAAAATAAACAATTAAAAAATTAACCATTTGGGGGCTAGCAGGTAACATAGTGGTTAAGGCACTGGACTCCCACATGGCCAACCTTGGTTCAAGTTCTGGACCCAGTTGCTTGAAACTCACACTGCACATATGTGCATGTGTGCCCAAAATTCCTAGAGGAGAATAGAGAAGAGATTGCGGTACGGCTATCCCCCTGGGGAAGTGATATCTCACTTTCTGACTCTCCATATCTTCAGCGAGAGCACATACCCTATAGCAAAAATCTCTTGAAGTAAAATAAAGTCATTTTGTTATCAACCACTGCATGTACATTCACTAGATGGTACTTGTACTTCATGGTATCACAACTCTAGCTGCAGTTGGCTGGCAGGACAAAGGGTTGGAATCGCTGAAATAGCTCGTTAATGAGTCTAGTGCTGAAGTGGAAATGCCTTGAAGTTTGGATGTAGCTGGGATGCTAAAATGGTTGAACCTTTTTCTTTTTCCATGTAGTTTCATCATATTCTTTTATTCTGCATTAATTTTTACTGTTTAAAAAATATTTTACATTAGGTTGGCTCCATGACCTGGGATCCCACATGACTATGTGGCCTGAGACCCAGTGGCTTAAGAAATGCCAGGAGCATGGCAGTGTGTGCTCAAAATGCCAAAGGGGAAGGAGAGGTGGAGAAGAGGTTGTAGCATGATTATTTCCCATGGCAGGTGTTTTTTTCTCTCCCTGTCCTCTGTCTCTCTCTGTCTCTGTCTGGCAAGTTCACATGCCCTCTAGGGGGAAAATTATATAATGCAAGAAGACTACAAAGTGTTTGTGGAAAAATAGAATTAAAGTATAAGTTTATTTGGTTTTATGCATATTCTTTTATCCTGTGCATTTTCCACCAACTGTTTGAAGACTCTCTGTGTATTATTTATCTTTATTACTGAAGTTTTTGGTATTCTCTTGAGTTTTGCATCCTAGCCAAGTACCTATCTTGTTCATCCTAGGTCCAACTCTACTCATGTCCATTGTGTTTTGTTGGTTAGTCACAGAGCCAGCCCAGACTCAAGGGCAGGAGAACTTAGCTCCATTCTGTTTTTCCTTTTTTAAAAATTTGGCAGAGTACACATGTGCATGCATGCATAACATTTCTAAAGGGGGACATATGGAGGAGAAAAGATTGTGGCATGACCATTCACCATGCAGTGGGGGAAAGGATCAGCCAATACATGTGCCCTCTAGCAAAATGTTCTAAAAAAAGGAAAGAAAGAAAAACTGTCTAGTTATGGAGACTTGGTGTCTCTTTTTTATATAAAGAAGCTTTTGAAAACAATTTTGTTTGAAGCGATTTCTTTTTTTTTTGGAGAGGTTTTTGCTATAGGGCACGTGCACTCACCAGACAGACAGAGAGAGACAGAGAGACAGAAAGCGAGAAATCGCCCCCCAGGGGGGATGGCCACGACACAATCCCTTCTCCTCCATTCTCCTCTCAGGATCTTGGGCACGCACGCACACACGCCCGGCGTGAGTTTAAGCCACTGGGTCCAGGACTCGAACCATGGTCGACTACGTGGGCATCCAGCGACATAGCCATTATGATAACTGCTGCTCCCATGAAGTGCTTTCTTAAGATAATTAGTTAAATCATGAAAAAGGTATTTAAATGCATGGAGTGTTCTGAGAGATAACAATACAGAATAATATAATGCAAAAAGAGCATACAGTGAAAGTGAACTAGAGAGTTGAACACTTCTAAATTCTGTTGACTTAAAAATGATTCTTGAGTGACTTTTTATAAATTTTCATACAATAATGCATTGAAAAAAATTTCAGCTATATGTATATTTAAATATTTAGTCACTTAAAAAATTAATATATAGAAAAATTGTACAGGAATTACAATGGAAATGTGAAGACAAAAATATGCCAAGGGATCTAAGGAAGAATCAACCTTCTTTTCTAACTGATGTTGTTCTTATTTGCCACGGGTAAAAATACTATTTTACAGACTCTCCTATTGTTTAATCTACTACAGTGAACATCTATGTTTACTTGATTGATTCTTGGGTTTTGGCTTGAATTCTTTAGTGGATTAATTTTATGTGTTACTGCTCAATTACAACAAAACCTGTTTCCTAAATATTATATTATTTTCAGTCAACTTGCAGCATTACACTCGTCTATTCATTCGCATCACTGTAAACAACATTGTGAAGTGTACGAAAACGTCCACCTTGCAGATCAGAGACAGTGGAAGGAACACTATGATTAAGTTTGATGAAGTGAAGTATTTTTCTGTACAGGTAATGTTAAAGTTCTCATCTTGATAAAGAATGTCTCCTTATAGTTTTAAATGGACTATAGTGATATTTCTTTTTTAATAAACAGCTGATTGCAGAATGCATGACCTTGGTGAACTTCTTCACTGACTTGTTACTGTCTGTGTTTTTTTTTTTTTTTTTTTGGAGAGGTTTTTGCACATGCGCTCGCCAGACAGACAGAGAGAGAGACATAGAGACAGAAAGCGAGAAATCACCCCCCTAGGGGGGATGGTCACGCCTCAATCCCTTCTCCTCCATTCTCCTCTTGGGATCTTGGACACGCACGCACACGCGCCCGGCGTGAGTTTTAAGCCACCGGGTCTGGGATGCAACCCGCGGTTGACTACGTGGGAGTCCAGCGACATAGCTGTTACGCTAAATGCTGGTCCCGGGATTCCAACACTCTTAACCACCATGCTACCGGCCAGTCCCAGCATTGTGGTTTTCTAGCAGACAGACTGATTGTAGAACTCTAGATGCCAGCCTGCTAGAAAACCAAGTCTGGCCTCTTAATCACTATGTTGGAATACAGGGCTTCTATTCCCTTTTCTCCTGTCTCAGGGAAAAATGGTCACAAACATTCTTTAAAAAGTTGAGGCCAGGTGGTGGCACAGGTAATGAATGGACCCACACAGGAAAGAGACCTTCCTGAGGACTGCACATTCTCGATGTGTACACACGTCTGTGGCTGAGGCTGGGAGTGTATTGCAGCATGAAGACCCTACTGGGGGTCTCGCTCTCTCTGTTATGAAAAAGTAAATAAACTTTAAAAAATATATACAGACTTCATGATCTAAGTTGTGGGGAGAGAGATCATAAAAAAGTCATCTAGAATCTTGGGAGTACGAAGGCATGAATTTTTTTTTTTTTAGTATAAATTTTAAGATTCACGTAATAATGATATCATGCTATAGAGTGCAGATTGGGACAAAGTTATATATTCAGGCAATTGTACATAATTTATCAAAAGTTAAAGAACAGAAACTGAAAAGGACATTAGATATTCTTTAATATTGGATATTTAGATAACTTGTATTTGGATTACCATGTCTATTTGGATTTCATATTGGATATTGGGTTACCTTTGATAGTATAGTATACTTTCACTAGAGTTTTGAGGGTTGGATTTTTTGTAGAGTTTTTAAAAAAGAATGTAGGTAATGGGATGTTTCAACAAGACTAATTGGTATCAACGTAGGTAGGGTTCTGATTTTTGTTTATATGAGAGTATATGTGACTCTGAGCTTATAGAATTATAAAACTATAATGACATACAAAAATTAATAATTGAGTATACATATAATAGATTTTATGAATGTATTCAGAACTTATATCTGAAATTAAGGGTAAAAATCTAATGCTTCTTTGTATATATTTTTTTGGTGTTGAGGTTCCTAGACGTCAAGATGATGAGCGGAATAATGTTGCCTTGGAGTTAATGCAGTATGATGATACAGAAAAGTATCCTACCTTGTTAGGGAGTGTTCAAATACATCTTTATGAAATAATTCAGGTACGTATCAACTTTTTTTTTTTTTTGAGAGGTTTTTGCTATAGGGTGCATGCACTCGCCAGACAGACAGAGAGAGACAGAGAGATGGAAAGTGAGAAATCACCCCCTGGGGGGATGGCCACGCTGCAATCCCTTCTCCTCCATTCTCCTCTCGGGATCTTGGGCATGCACGCACATGCGCCCGGCATGAGTTTTAAGCCACCGGGTCCAGGACGCGAACCACGGTCGACTACGTGGGAGTCCAGCGACATAGCCATTACACTAACTGCTGGTCCTCAACATTTTTTTTTTCATCTTGATATCGCAGTGTCAGGTTGATGTTTACTGTTGTGATTTATTATTCCTGATAGACTCCTTTTGTGTGTTATCTGCCTTCAAACTCATGGCCTTAGGAAACAAAGTCTTCCTCTATCTATCAAAAAAAAATTATTTTGTAACAACATAACATTTTTAATAATTTAATTTTGAGGGACCAGCAGATGGTGTAATTGTTATATAGCTGGACTCCCACATAGTTCACCATGGTTTGAGTCCTGGACCTGGTGGTTTAGAACTCTGCCAGGCACATGTGCATATGTGCCCAAAATGCCAAGAGGAGAATGGAAGAGAAGGGATTATGGTGTGGCCATCCCTCCTGGGGGGTGGTGAATTCTTGCTTTCTTTCTCTCTGTCTGTCTCTGTCTCTCTGGAGAGCAAAATCTCTCAAAAAATTAATTTTGAGGTTAGTGATAACGATGTTTAAAAAAGTGTTTTTGTTTAATTTACAAATAAAACTTGTATATATTTATCACGTGCGACATAATGCTTTGAAATATGTATACATTGTGATCATGTACAATAATAGCCTTATTTTTATAGTATTTAAGGAGGCCAGCAGGCAGCGTGATGGTTGAAAGCACTGGACTCCCACATGGTCAACAGTGGTTCAAGTCCTGGACCTGGTGGTTTCCTTTCTCATTCTCCTTCTCTCTCTCTCTCTCTGTCTCTCTTGGGTCAAATTGGAAAATAATAATAATAACAATACTAATAATAAATAAAAGTTAAAAAATAGTTATTTTAAAAATAGTTTTAGCATTTAAGAATAAAGAGTAATAATGGTTGAAATTTATATATAAAATTTTTATATATGTTCAGCTAACATGTATTATAAACATACACATGTAAAGATTAAACATCCATGGCACATGTTAAACAGTTTTGACAATTGTTAAATAAATATTTGAACTTGTTAACCTCCATGGAAAGTACATTGGTACTTATTGTCATAGTCTATCAACTGATCTGCATGTTTGAACATTTTCATAGTAAGAACTTGGAGAAAATTAGATCACTTTTCAGTACATTAACAAGAGTCATCAGGTGAGGAAGATGATTAATATATTGACTAATGAATAAGAGTTAGCAATCAGGGATTCTCAAAAATATTGGCAGAGAAGACCTTTGAAAATACTAAAATTTCTTCTACACATGACAATTTAGACATTAGAAACATGTGGTGTCATTCATTTTTTGGTTGAAGGAGGCTTAGACATGTGGACAACAATTAATTTTTTTCCAGTTTCTATTTTTGCTATAGGGCGTGTGCACCAGAGAGACATAGAGATGGAGGTGGGGTGTTGAGGGGCATTTTTTTAATATGCCTTGTTGGCTATTCGTATGTCTTCCTTAGAGAGTGGTTTTTTTCAGCTCATTCTCTCATCTTTTAATAGGATTAGCCATCTTTTTTCCAGACAGCTGCTTGAGTTCCTTGTGTATTCTGGTTATCAGTCCCTTATCTAATGCATAGTTTACAAAAATATTTTCCCATTCAGAGGGCTGTTGATTCACACTAATTACTGTGTCTTTTGCCAATGCAGAAACTTCTTAATCTGATGTAATCCCACTTATCTATTTTTGGGATTACTGACTGTGCTTTGGGGGTCTTATTTAAGAAGTCTTTGCCTGCCCCAATGTCTCCCAGAGTTTCCTCAGTGTTTTCCAGCAGCAGTTTTATAGTTTGAGATCTTAGTTTTAGATCTTTGACCCACTTTGAGTTGATTTTTGTCAAAGGTGAGAGGTAGGGGTTCAGATTCATCTTTCTGCAAGTGGATATTCAGTTTTTCCAGCACCATTTGCTGAAGCGGTTTTTCTTTCTCTGCTGGATTGACTGGTACCCTTTGTCAGAAATCAGTTGGCTGTATGTCTGGGAGTTTATTTCTGAGGACTCTATTCTGTTCCTTTGGTCTACCTGTCTATTCTGTGCCAATACCATGCTGTTTTGATTACCACAGCTTTGTAGTATATTTTTGGGTTAGGGAGTGAGATGCCATCCACTCCACTCTTCTTGTGCAGGATTGCTTTGGCAATACAAGGTCTCTTATGAATCCAGACAAATTGTATTATTGTCTTTACTAGATCTGTAAAGAATGTCTCTGGCACTTTGATTGGAATTGCATTAAATATATAGCTTAATTTGGGTAGAAGTGCCATTTTGGTTATATTAATTCTTCTAATCCAGGGACATGGGATGTCTTTCCACATATTTGTGTCATTTTCAATTTCTTTTTATCTTCTTATAGTTTTCCTTGTGGATGTCTTGAACTTCTTTGGTTGGATTTATTCCTAGGTATCTTATACTTTTTGTGGCTATGGCAAATGGAATTACTTTTTTCAGTTCTATCTCAGTCTGCCTGTTGTTCATATACAGAAATGCTATAGACTTCTGTATTTTGATTTTGTATCCTGCAACATTACTATATTCATGTATTACTTCCAGGAATTTTTCCATGGATACCATTGGGTCTTCTATGTATACAGTCATGCCATCTGCAAATAGAGATAGTTTCACCTCTTCTTTTCCTATTTGAATGCCTGTTATTTCATTCTATTTTCTGATTGCATTGGTGGGGACTTCCAGTACTATATTGAAAAGGGTGAAAAAAGTGGGCATCCTGGGACCAGCAGTTAGCGTAATGGCTATGTCGCTGGACTCCCATGTAGTCGACGCGGTTTGAGTCCTGGGCCCAGTGGCTTAAACTCACACCGGGTGCGTGTGCATGCGTGCCCAAGATCCTGAGAGGAGAATGGAGGAGAAGGGATTGCAGCGTGGCCATCCCCCCGGGAGGTGATTTCTCGCTTTCTGTCTCTCTGTCTTTCTCTGTCTCTCTGGCGAGCGCACACACCCTATAACATTGTTGCTTATAAAAGTGTCTTGAACTCGATAGAATTGTGTTGAAAAATAAAGTTTATATTTAAATTTTTTATCTTCTAATTCAATTTTTCCATGAAATTTTTGAAGTCCCCTTTTTGTGATATGCTAATCCTGGGTGTTGTCTACTACTATATCACCACCTAAGTTATTTCCTTCATAGTGTCTCACCAAGAACTAACAGGTGAGGAATTAATAGTATTTGGAGACTGTTTTGCTTTGGGGAAATGCAGAGGATATGTTAACTGCATGCCAACGTTTTAAATAAATGAGGATTAGTGACCTGAATGTCTGAAAGAAAATGGAATCACCAGAGAGCATGAGGCTTAAAAAGAGAACTTTTTTTTTTTTTGACAGGTTTTTGCTGTAGGGCACGTGTACTCGCCAGAAAGACAGAGACAGAGAGATAGAAATCAAGAAATCACCCCCAAGAGGGGATGGCTACACTGCCATCCCTTCTCCATTCTTCTCTCGGGATCTTGGGCACGCACGCACAGGCTCCCGGTGTGAATTTAAGCCACTGGGTCTGGGACTCAAACCATGTTCGACTACATGGGAGTCCAAGGACATAGTTATTATACCAACTGCTGGTCTCAAAGAGGAGAACTTTTTACACCCACAAGGAATACTGTGATCTGGAAGCAATAGAGGGCAGGGTGGAGGATGCTATTTCACCTCCTGACCTTGAGGGGCATAGGCTTTTGGAGAAGGAGCACCTTCGTTTGAGGTGTCTATAAGGGAGCAGCATAAACTCTAGGTCTCAGGTAAAGCAGAGAGGTGGAAGGAATGTTTGGTGAAGCAGTTAAAGGTGTAAGGTGGTTCATTAAGCGTGGAATTGGGAGGAGTGGAAAATGTGGGGAAGAAAATTGTCAGTGAATTTCAAGGGCTGATTTTGTAAGGAATAAGACACTTTTAGTGAGGAACTTAGAACAGTAGCAACCAAGGAACTACTATTCAGTAAAACCAAATATGTATTCCAAAACGAGAGGGAAGACAAGGCCTTTAAATGCAAAAATATTTAAATCACTTATAGGTTATGAACAGTCTTTGACATGAGAGTAGCAAAAGCTGTGCGAGGGCTTTATGAGTTAAGTGAGTGCTGAAGAAGCTAAAGGAGACACACGTGTCCATGAAAATGGGCTGGATAACACATGGCACGTATCCTGAGTTTCTTCAGCTGTTCCATTTCACGTGCCTGACACTGAGGGTAAACTGGACGACACCTCACACTCCAAAAGCAGTCACTTGCTATGTGCATAAGTTCAGATTCCAGTTTCCTCTTTGGCCTCCTGACTCTATTTTGAAACAGTAAAGGGTTTTATTATCCATCCTTTCACCAAGGGAACCATGGGATCTGTAATTAGGTGGGATGAATCACAGGACTACAGAGATGACTACAATTGGTGACCACGGGTATCAAAGCTTTGCCTGTCCCCTAGAGATGATGAAGGTACTCAATCCTGTCAGGAGTTAGTTGATCATATAGATTTATATTTACAAAACCCTCCAAAATGACATAGGTATGATAGTTCTTTAAGACTTTCAAGAAAAGAAAAAAAAGGCACTATACCTAATAGGAACATTTTTGTCTAAAACTTAAGGTAAATATTAAAATTTATTTCTGTTGCTAGTACCTGGAATTTTTCTTTTCTTCTTCTGAATATTCATTATGTTTGTACTTTAGCTATTAGATTCATATGTACATTTGAAAAATCTTTACCTGACTTTTTTACTCTAGTATAGTTTAGATAATATAGTAATACAAGAGTAATTCTATATTAAGAATTTCATTATTACCTTTTTCTAGAAAGGATGCTTCACTGAAGACCTTAAAATGACCCAAAAAAACACAGTAAGACCTCCTCTGAAACATCCTAAGTTTTGGGCACATTTAATTTTTTTTTTTTAACATTTCATTTAACCTTATTCCGATATTGTTCATAGCTTATATCTTTTTATTCTTTTTGTCATCCTCAGGTCACTGTTTGAATTAGTAGAAATGTATTAAATAGAAAGTACAACATTTGCTCACAAAATCTTCACCCCTGCCTCTAAAAAACAAAACAAAATTACTATATTAATGCTAAATGGTGAAAGAGAACATTAGAAATCACTGGGTAGGGACCAGCAGTTAGCGTAATGGCTATATCGCTGGACTCCCATGTAGTCGACCGCGGTTTGTGTCCCGGACCCGGTGGCTTAAAACTCACGCTGGGCACGTGTGCGTGCATGCCCAAGATCCCGAGAGGAGAATGGAGGAGAAGGGATTGCGGCGTGACCATCCCCCCTGGGGGGTGATTTCTCGCTTTCTGTCTCTATGTCTCTCTCTGTCTCTCTGGCGAGCGCACACGCCCTATGGCAAAAACCTCTCAAAAAAAGAAAAGAAAAAGAAATCACTGAGTAACAGAATAAAACGCCTCTAGCTGCTTCTCTGCCAGTATAGCCTCAGAAGCCTCATTTGCTGAATTGAGGAACCATTATTTTTCTCTTTCAAGAGTTCATCAAGAGTGGATTACAATTCTTACTCTAATTTATTTTTAAGTGCCTAAAAATAACTAGCTTGATCAATTGATCTTATACTCAGAGAGACTTCTGCTGCTAATGGCCCAGATGGGGAAGGGACATAAAAATAAGCATAATGAGCTCACAAGAAACTCAGGGCTCAGAGAGGTGAAATCACTTGTCTAAATCAAAATTTTATCCACAAATTGGAGTGGAGGTGAGAGGAGTGTGAGTAAATAATTTATGAAATATATACACGTGTATGAATTTATACACGTGTATGTATTTCAGTAGCTCGGTGTAATCCTATTAACAATTATAGGTTGGTATTTTCCATATACTAATCATATAATATTGCTTAACTAATGCAAAAGATTTTAACATTTCAAGAACGTAATGTAATTCTTCTATGAGAATTCCTTGTGTATATGTTTTATTTTAAAAAATGAAGAGATGCATGCTTTGGCTTCTAACATATGGATTTGTGAAATAAAAATATCTCTTGATATCACTTCTCCACTAAAATATCATACAATAAACTTGTCACATGTCCAGCTTATCTGCAGTTTGGAGGTGGAATTTATGTTCTCTTACGGAAACTTTGGTTATGGATTTTCACATCAGGTTAGTTACTCTCTTTTGAAAAATTATTATTCTACTGTAGCTCTTCAGTCAAATTATTCTTTTCTGGGTTTTTATTGTTTTCCAGTTTGAAAAGTTCTTAAAATAAGTCTTTTTAGAGACCAGCAGTTAGCGTAATGGCTATGTCGCTGGACTCCCATGTAGTTGACCGTGGTTTGAGTCCTGGACCCGGTGGCTTAAACTCACGCCGGGCACGTGTGCGTGCGTGCCCAAGATCCCGAGAGGAGAATGGAGGAGAAGGGATTGCGGCGTGGCCATTGCCCCTGGGGGATGATTTCTTGCTTTCCATCTCTCTGTCTCTCTCTGTCTGTCTGGCGAGAGCACGCGCCCTATAGGAAAAAATCTCTCCCCCCCAAAAAAACGAAAAATAAATCTTTTTAAAAGAATGCTATTCCACTTCCCGACCTAGAATTATGTGTGCTTTTCTTCAGCTTGAAAAAGTCTTTACCATTATTTGCTTGCACATTTTAAAGTAATATTTTCTTCAAAGTATCTTTATTATAAAACTTGCGTATGTGTGTATGTGTATATATTTATAAAATATATATAATATATATATGCATTTATGTAATTAAAAGCAAAATTATTTTAAGTATTTGTGTAAAGTTTTATATCATTTTACATCAACTTATTGATGTTATTCAGATAAAATTTTGTTCTTGTACCACATATGTTCCTTTCTCCCATGGTTATTGCAACATCTGCTGTTATTTGAATAACACCAGATTCATCAAGAGAGTAACATACCCAAGAAGATCTTCCTAACTTTGGCTTGCCCCTTTAAATTGACTGTCATAAATTCATGTTGCTGTGAACATTTTTGCACACTAACCTGTGTCCTTTCATTATTGTCTTTAAGCTAGATTCCTAGAAAGGAAATTATTGTTCAAAACAATGACCTTTCCAAGGAATTTTTCTAGAAAAGCTGTACCAATATATACTCTCACCAAGGGTTGGAAAGAACTCTTGATGTCCCTGGGTATTATCACAGCTTTGGTGCATTTGAGAATCTGGTCCCATTACTGCTCCTGTAATGTAGGGCATATGTGCTTACCAGAGAGAAGAAAAGTGAGAAATCATCCCCCACCACAATTCCTTCTCCTCCATTCTCCTGTTAAGATTTTGGGCATGCACACATGCGCATCTAGTGTGATTTTTAAGCCGCCAGGTCTAGGACTCAAACTCTAGAGTCGGCCATGTGAGATCCAGTGCCTTAACCACCATGCCACCTGCTGGTTCTCATTTCTAGTTTTGCTATATTTTTTAGTTTTGGATGATTTTGGTTAGAAATTAAGAATGGAGACATCAGTTTTATTGAATAAGCCTACCACTGTGTTAACTGAGAAATCCCTGACATATATTTTGAAAAATTGGCTTGTAGTATCTCATAATCACGTTTACTATATTAGAGTAAGTACTACACAAAGAAAAACCACAGAAAGAAGCTATTTTTCCTTCTCTTCTGTGAGTTTCCTTTCTTTCTTTTTAAAAATTTTAAAGAGGTTTTTGCCTTCTGGTGCATGTGCTCCTTATGTGGGAGAGAGAAAGAGACAGATACACTGAGAGGGAACGTGAGAAATCACCCCCCAGGGGAGATGGCCATGCTGCAATCCTTTCTCCTACATTCTCCTCCTGGGATCTTGGGCATGCTGTTTTCTTTTTCCTTTTATCATTAATTAGGCCTTTTAGGGTCCCTTCCTTGTTAGTCCTTTTTGTGATAGTCTTAGCTCATGAGGTAGGCTTTGTGTTCAAATACAGTAAAACATGTAACAATAGCCATTCTTCGGGACCAGCAGATAGTGTAATGGTTACATCACTGGACTCCATGTAGTCAACCACAGTTTGAGTCTCATACCCAGCAGCTTAAAACTCATACCAGGTATGCTTGTATGCATGCCCAAAATCCTAAGAAGAGAATGGAGGACGAGTGATTATGGCATGGCCATCCCCCTAGGGGTGATTTCTTACTTTTTGTCTCTCTGTCTCTTTGGTGAGCTCACATACCTATAGCAAAATATCTCTCATAAAAAATAATAATAATGAAAAAAATAAATAGCCATTCTTAAGGAGATCAGTCCTTTTCAGATAAAACTGGGAAAGTATCATTTTGTGGAGGTAGAATCTGCTAGCAACAAGGAACAAAGTTATTGTTTGGAAAAGAATGGAGCACGTAAGAAAAGACAACTTGATGTTCTGTCTGTGAACTTTGCTGTGATGTAGGCCCCTCCTTAGCTATCACGATTCCATAAAAAGGGAACTACATTAGAGGCAGATAAACCTGCATTCACATCCTGACTCTTACACCTGCTGCATAACCTTGAACAAATCCCCAATCTTCAGTATTATCTGTAAAATAGGCACAGTTATCTACGTCATAGTTTTATGGAGGGGATTAAATAAGATTAAAGCTATAAAATGCTTGGTAAATAGTATCCAATACCTCATGGGACTTTTATGGCCTATTCCATACTCATGAGGGATCACAATTATTAGGGCAAATTGTAATTGTCACTAAGCCACGCTAAAATATACTTACATTCTTCTTCAGCTAAAACCTCTTCAGAAAATTATTGAGCCACCCATGTTTATGAATATCGCACCACCTCCAGAAAGAACAGATCCAGTGACGTAAGTGTTTTAAATGTCATTACATAGATCACATGGGATTAAAAAAATTAATCTATTTGATAGAGTATTTCGGTTATCTTAAGTCCCCAGGGCATGGCCAGGATGGGCTAGACATCAAGGTAAAAGAAATGACAAAATGTTCTGCTTAATAAGGCGGGAGACATTTATGTTTCTGGCATAGCCTTGGAAAAAGATGATGAGGAAGTATGCAGACAAGAAAAAAAAGGAATATCAAGTTCATGGCTGAGGGAGAGAAGGGCGAGGGAGTCGAATGAGGAGAGTTGGCAGGGAGATACTCCTTTTGTAAAAAGAGGTAAGAGACTTTTAAGATCATAGTGACTAATAGCTATCATTTTTCTGATCTGTGGTACAGAAATGTTACCCCTACCTCCAGACCACTCCTATCGTTAGTTCCAAATTGTTAATGTAAAGTCTGTGATAAAAAAAAAGTCACTAGTAACTGTCAAAGTAACTTAAAATATTGTATTCCAACTTTGAAATTTCAACAGTGAAAAATAGATTAAAGGAAAATGAGCACCCGAGAATGATATTTAATCTATAGTGCTGTCTAAGAATAAGAAATAGAGGGGCTGGCAGGTGGCGTGGTGGTTAAGGGTGCTGGACTCTCACATGGGCGACCACAGTTCAAGTCCCGGACCTGGTGGCTTTCTCTCTCTCTCTCTATCTCTCTGTCTTTCTCGCCAAATTAAAATAAATAAGCAAATAAAATAAAGTTAAATAATTCTTTAAAAAGAAAAAAAATAAGAAATAGGAAAAATCTGAACTGGAATTGAGGGAATTAGATATAGGGTGGGAAACTGTGTGTGTAGGGAGATTTTTTTTTTTTTTAAAGAGGTTTTGCCTTAGAGTGTGTGTGCTCTTTTTGGGGAGAGAATGAGAGAGAGACAGACAGTAAGAAGGAAAGTGAGAAATCACCTGGAAAGTGACCAAGCTACAATCCTTTCTCCATTCTCGTCCCAGGATCTTGGGCAAACATGCACACACACCTAATGTGAGTTTCATGCCACCAGATCTGAGATTCGAACTGTGGTTGGCCATGTGGGAGTCCAGCAAGATACTGCTCCACCAGCTGTTGGCTCCAGCAGCTGTGTTGTGAAGTGCTATTTTTCTATAGTCTCAGCAACACTGACTATTATCAACAAAATACACTTTATCTATTTGGTATTGGTGATTTGTTGAAATAGTATATAGTTGATGGGGCCAGCAGATGGCGTATTGGTTGTGTTGCTGGACTCCCACATGGCTGACCACTGTTTGACTCCTAGACCTGTTGACTTGAAAATCACGCTGGGCTCATGTACTTGTGTGCCCAAGATCCCAGGAAGAGAATGGAGGAATAGGGATTGCACCACGACCAGCACCTTTGAGGGGTGACTTTTCACTTTCCCTCTCACTCTATCTCTCTTTCTCTCAGGCAAGTGGCAAAATCCTCTAAAAAACTGTATAGTTGATTTTTTTTCTTATGTTAATTCACTGTTTTTTTCCTTTGTATTCACTGATTCAATAAACATTTATTGAATGTGTGCTATATCCCCAAGGCATTGCTAACAAAGATACTGAGACCTGGCTCCTGCCTTCAGGTAGCTCTTGACTTAATGCAAAAGTGACGTGTGAATAATAATAACTTTTTTTAAAAAATGAAAATGGTATAAGAGCCCTCCTGTAGAATTTAAAAGCCAAGGTGATTAGGGCCAGTAGGTGTGTGGTGGTTGAGGCACTGGCCAACCACAATTTGAGTCTTGCTTTCCCTCTCTCTCTGTGTCTCTCTCTGGTGAGCACATGTGGCCAATAGCAAATTAAAAATAATAATAATAATAATAAATAAAATAACAAGTAATTTTAAAAAGAAAAAGAAAAACCTTTATAATAACAATAAATAAGTAATTTAAAAAGAAAAAGAAAAACCTTTATAGAAAAAAAAGCCAAGGAGCTTTTAATTCTTCCCAGGGGAGTTGGAGAGGCTCCGCAAAAGAAAGAGTGAAGCGTGACTTGAAAATAATGGTAGTAATGAATCCGGCTAATTTTGGAGAGATAAAGGAGCACAATCCCCCAAGAGGGCATATTTGTAAAGACAGGGAGCCATGAGGTGCTAAATTGTGCTGGAGAATAGTGAGTCATTAGTGCAAATGGCTATAAGTATAGGAACAAGGAGGGGAGCAATGGGAGATGAGCTGGAGGGGTAGGCAGAGACGAGACATGGTGCTGAAAAATTCAGGCTCTAAGAGCCAGACTACATGGGCTCACATCCTGGCATCCTTGGAGAAGTCCCTTAAGGATCTTGATGCTTCATTTATTGTGTTTTTGTTTTTGTTTTTGTTTTTGTTTCAACTTGCCAGAGAGAGAAACAGACAAAGAAGGTGAGAGAGAAAGCACCTCCAGACAGGGCATGACCACACTGCCGTCCCTTCTCCTCTTCTTCGTCCTGTTGGAATGTTGGGCATACATACTCAAGCCGCCAGGGCCGGAATTCAAACTGCATGGTCCGCCATCTGAGATCTGGCTGCCTTAACCAGCAGGCTACAGAGCCAGCCCTGTGCTTCATCTGTTGCATGGGATAAAAATAGAAACTACTCAATTAAGTTACTATGATAGTTAAATATGTTACATGTAAAGCATTTAGTAAAATGCTTAATTAGTTGCTAGCTACTTATCAAGTAATAAGTATTTTATCATAACCATCATCATCATTGTAGGTTTAGGCTTCTCAGATGTGAGTACCTTTTACCCTTTTAGATCCTCAGGGAATGCGCTACACTTTAAAATAACTACTGGAGTTTTCTAATTTATACAGATAGAAATCTGAGTAACGGGTAGAAACGACTATTAAGGATTTGAAATAATGACAGGAAAAAAAAAAGTTGGATCAGGCTGAATTTATTGATATGGATTCGCTAAGTGAAGATTTTACATTTAACGTTGCAGCATGTAAAGTTAGAAAGGGCTCCAGCAGCTTGTGTGGTTGGTCAGCTGACACATGAACCAAAAGGTGGCCCCAGGTGTGTGAGTTAGAAATGAATACGGAGAAAAGGATTCAGAGGCTGAGAGAAATAACGTTAGTGTGGATTTTCATCTATGACCACCTGGGTGAATCCAGAGGACACATTTTTTTTTTGGGGGGGGGAGAGATTTTTGCTATAGGGCGCGTGCGCTCACCAGACAGACAGAGAGAGACATAGAGACAGAAAGCGAGAAATCACCCCCCAGGGGGGATGGTCACGCCGCAATCCCTTCTCCTCCATTCTCCTCTCAGGATCCTGGGCACACACTCACCTGTGCCCGGCGTGAGTTTCAAGCCACCGGTTCCGGGATGCAACCCGCGGTCGACTATGTGGGAGTCCAGCGACATAGCCATTATGCTAACTGCTGGTTCCCCAGAGGACACTTTTTTTTAAAAAAAGAATTATTTAATTTTATTTATCATTATTATTATATTTTAACTTGCAACAGGGGACACATGCTCACCCGAGAGCAACAGAAAGAGAGAGGGAAAATGAAAAAGCAAGTTGCCAGGTCCAGGACTTGAACTGTGGTCAGCCATGTGGGAGTCCAGTGCCTTAACCACCACACCACCTGCTGACCCCTAGGACACACGTTTTATAATGATTATGAGAAATGAGTTTGTGAAGGGTGTCCTGGATCCTTGAAGAGCTCTATGATTGCCCTTCTCAGCAGGCCAGACTTACAGTGGGAACTAGAGTCACTATGCATTGGGAAACTTAAATACAATGGGAATAATTCGATCCCAGGTGGCAGGAACCAAGCGAAGGCACTCAACTGCCAAAGGCAAGATGGGCATGGTTCCTGTAAGGGACAGTAGAGTGAAAACAATCATCAAAATAGTCTGACTAGTGTAGACCTATGGCATGGCTACTTGATCATGGTATTCCTAGAAGTGAACAGACAGAAAGCCAACTACATTTTTTCTTGATGGGTATAAACAGAAAAATTCTAGGTCAACTGAGCAAAAATCAAACCCAGATCATAAAAGGATGCCCCCAGTCACTTTCCAACCTTTAGCCAGTTTATAGACCTCGACTCCTTGAATGAAGGGGAGGACAGATCCCCTTGAGGGAGGATCCTAGTACAGTGACAACAGTTTATACTGCCTATCTTTCCCCTGGCCTTCCCAAAGGGATGCATATCTTTTTCCCAAGGTAACTGTGCAGTGGGAAAAGGTCAGAGTTAGGGCTTTAGGGGACTACTGGACACGGGCTCTGAACTCACATCAATTCCAGGAGACCCTGTGGTTCATCAAGAGTAGGGGCTTATGGAGATAGGGGATCAATGAATGGAGTTTTAGCTCAGGTTACCCATTATGTAGCTATTTCCATCGTTCCAGAATGCATAAAGAGATCAACTCAGTAGCTGGCAGAACCCATATTGTGACCACAGGGAATATGTTAAGTCATCAGGAAAGTCATGATGTATTTTTCTATGCAAAAATGTGTCAAGACTTTTCTGATGACACAGTTGTCCCTGTTGTTTTCTGAACTAGGGAATAATGGGGGAAAAAGGGCCTATTTGGGGACTGGGAAGATGATGAGCTTTATTTTGGACCTGTTGAGTTTAAGTTTCTCTCCACTGTATATAATATAGTGTTTAAGAACATGAACTTCGTGATCAAAGAGACTATGTTCAAATGTTAGATTTACCACTTACTGGACCTTGGGAGAAATTGTTTAGTGTCTTTAACCTTAACGTCTAAGGAATATAAAGTGGGATCTAATAGTTTTTATTTCATGGGTTTGCTGTAAAAATTAAATGAGATAACTTACATAGCCATATGAACACAGTGCCTGGCACACAATACTTACCAAATAATTTATATATATATATAATATATATATTTAAATATTTATTTATTTATTCATTCATTTATTCCTTTATTTTAATTTGACCAGAGAGACACAGAGAGAGAGAGAGAGGAAAGTGAGAAACCAAGCCACCAGGTCCAGGACTCGAACCGTGGTCAGCCATGTGGGAGTGTCCAGCACCTTAACCACCATGCCACCTGCTGGTCCCCCAAATAATTAATATATTAAAAAATTATATACTCAAGATATAAGGATTTAGGATTGAAGGTTGGGAGAGAAGTCTGGGCTCATACTCTCTACTTCCCATTAGAATTTCAGGTCTCCCTCTCCTTCCCTAGCCTGGAGCCCATGCTTTTAGTAAGAATAATCAATGGAGTGCTTATCTCAGAATTTCTGACTATTGTCTTCTTTTCTGGCTCTATCCTCTGATAGAGATGGAGAGGTGAGCTGAAATAATAAAAGAGAAAAGGATTCAAAAAGTGATAAATACTACTAATTTTAGAAGTACATTTATATCATTTCAATATTTCACTTTATTACCATTTTGCAGGAATGTTATTATACCACAGCCAGTGCAATATCCAGCGTTCTTATCTCCAGACCTAAATGTTACTATTGGGACTGCAGATACGCTCCATCGCCCCAACCAGCCATCCTTAGTGCGGCTTGAAAAACTTCAGGAACAGCCCCGGCAAAGGTTTAAAAAAAAAACCCCATTTTGTCTTATTTATTTGTTACTTGGATTAGCTGTTAATTTTTTTCCTGTAAGGTGAGCTTGCTATTGGTCCAGCAACTTTCATTATGGTGTCATTTCATGGGATTCAGACATTATTCCTAATTTTACTTATCAAATTTAGGTGTGTTGTTTGAAAAAGTCAGTGTTAATAGCAAGAAAAGAGATGAAAAGTTATTTATAAGGAGAAAGCATTACTTTTGTTCTACCTCTGTACCCAACCGTATATTCCATAGGTCTTTTAAAAAAATATTGATTTAATTTTATTTGTAATAATTATTATTATTTTTAAAAATTATTTTGTTTTATTTAATTCTAGTTGTTGTTGTTGTTGTTGTTGTTATCATTTAATTTGACCAGACAGAGACAGAGAAAAAGAGAAAGGGAAAGTGAGAGAGCAAGCCGCCAGGTCCAGGATTCACACCGCATTTGGCCATGTGGGAATCCAGCACCTTTAACCACCATGCACCTGCTGGCCCCATTATTATTATTTTTAAATTTAGTATAGGACATCTGTGCTCACCATAGGAGACACAGAGAGAGAGGAAAGTGAGAAAGCAAGTGGGACTCAAACTACAGTTGGCCATGTCGGAGTCCGGCACCTTAACCACCATACCATCTGCTGGCCCCTCCATAGGTTTTTTTTTTTTTTAAGTTTTTTTAAAGAGCGTGTGCGCTCACCAGAAAGACAGAGAGACAGAGAGATAGAAGGCGAGAAATCACTACCCAGGGGAGATGGCCACGCTGCAATCCCTTCTCCTCCATTCTCCTCTCAGGATCTTGGACACGCAGGCACATGCACCCGGCGTGAGTTTAAGCCACCAGGTCCGGGACCTGAACCACAGTCGACTACATGGGAGTTCAGCGACATAGCCATTACGCTAACTGCTGGTCCCCCTCCATAGGTTTTTATGTTTCCCTGTATTTCTCCTCCTTTTTTTACCCCTATGCTTTAGTCTAGACATTTTCTCCTGGCCTATATTTCACTGGTTCTTTCTAATTTGTTGCTAATTTGCTGTTAAACCAATTGAATTCATTGAATCCTTTCTTTAAAAGAATTATTTTATTTAACTTTATTTATTTATTTATTTATTTATTATTTATAATTTTACCAGAGAGGGACAGAGTGAGAGAGAAAGAGAAAGGGAGAGAGAGAAAGCAAGCCAACAGATCTGGGACTCAAACCATGGTCAGCCATGTGGGAGTCCAGTGCTCTTAACCACTGCACCACCTGCTGGCTCTGAATTCTTTTTTTTTTTTTGGAAAGGTTTTTGTTATAGGACATGTGGGCTTGCCAGAAAGACAGAGAGACACAGAGAGACAGAAAGCAAGAAATCACCACCCAGGGGCAATGGCCCACCACAGTCCCTTCTCCTCCTTTCTCCTCTCGGGATCTTGGGCACGCACGCACACACGCCTAGTGTGAGTTTAAACCACCGGGTCAAGGACTTGAACCACGTTCAACTACATGGGAGTTCAGCGACATAGCCATTGCGCTAACTGCTGGTCCCCTGGCCCCAAATTCTTAATTGTAATAATTTTATTTCTCTATAATGGAATTCCTCTTTATTTCTAGTTTCCATTTCTTTGCCAAAATCCCTAGTCTTAACTTTTCATTCATTGAAAGAATTAAGTTCTTTTAATTCATTGAAAGAATTAAATTCTTTTAATTCATTTGAAATATCCATATCTCAATCAGCTCAGGCTACTGTAAGAAATACCATATACTGGGTGACATAAACAACAGATATATTCATTCTTCACAGTTCTAGAGGCTTGAAAGTCCAATATCAAGGTGTGCTGGCTGATTT